TGTGGCAGCAGATAATGCCTTTCACATTGTTCTTGCGTATACATACTCCTAGTACCTTTTTACACTCATCTACAGACCAAGTCTTGTCAGGAGAGAGGAGGTGACAGAAGTGACTTTTGCTTGATTCATTATCTGATGCCCTGCATGAGGGCATCTTACGTTTACAGTCTGTCTGTTAGCCAATTTTGTAGGAATTACTGTAATTACTGCACCTGTATCAAGCAAAAAATCTATCTCTTTCTCTTGTATGCTACCTTTCACAAAAATAATTTTGTCATTGTGATGGATTACAGGGGAAATTAAGCACTCACAGCCCTAACAGTTAACACCTGAGCAAGCTGCTCCAACAGTTCGGTGAAGTGGGGAGGGGCTGCTTCAGAGTAGTAAGTAGACTGAGTAGGAGCTGAGTAAAGCTGTTAATTTCTCCTAATGTCTTCTTGCTTTTCCTACACTCTTTCATCCAGTGTCCAGGTTTACCACAGTAATGACAACTGCCCTCCCTCTTAGGACTTTTACGTTTCTGTCGGTTCTCTGTGTTGACCTGAAAGGATACTGCTGCAATCTTTACTCTGGCTTTAACATCAGAGTCTCTTTCCCATGTAGCTAACCTGTCCAAGTTGTTTTGCAAACTTCCAGTGGACCATGTTAGATCTAAGAACGGCAAAGCAGATCTGTACTCTGATAAAAGGCCATCAAACCATGCTCGAACTAGTGGTCCTTTATGATCTAGTACCTTCTCTGGAGTGTCAGCTATTCCACTGTATCTGACTGCTGACTGACAAAACCTTTCAGTGTATTCACTCACAGTTTCTTCTTTCCTTTGCACACAGTTCTGGACCAGTGACCAGTCTATTTTGGGTCCCATGATATTCTTTAGAATTTTCAAAACACCTTCTCTCAAATCGCCTTTACTGGCATGTTGTAGTTCAGAAGTAACAGCAGACAAAACTATTGAATTCAGATTCAGTTAGAATTTGTGATATCAGCTGTGTGACTTCTGCTAACGACATGTCGTAGAGACGCATTTTGCTGATCAATGCTCTTCTAAATTCAGAAAAATTTGTGCGTGCTGAGGGTAAGCTCTGGGATAGTCTCTCTATATCTTTAGGTCCTAGTGCTTTGGCAACAGTTTGTACTTGGACAACAGAAGAGTTGGGAGGAACACTTTCAATTCCCTCAATTCCCTGAGATCTTCTCCTAGCGCCACATACCTTCACTGTATCTACAGGCAGGCACATCAGTTACTGATTGGATGGCTACATCTTTTTCAAAGAAAGATTGTAAGTCAGGATACTTGTTATCAGGCTGAATAACTTCTTCCACATCAGTTTTTGCTGCAGCTTTGTTGCGGTTCAATTTCTTAGTCAAAGAGGATACTCTAGCACAGAGCTCTTTGTTCTGTTCCTCTAGCTCTGAGTTACGCTGAGACTGTTGTGTAGCTAGCGCTAAACCAAATTCTCTGTGGCAGCAGATAATGCCTTTCACATTGTTCTTGCGAATACATGCTCCTAGTACCTTTTTACACTCATCTACAGACCAAGTCTTGTCAGGATGGATCTCATATTTCTGAGTTAGTTCTTGTCTAACTTTCTCAGTGACTATTAGGTTCATTTGCACTCCTAACAGTGATTTGAATTCGCTATCTGACCACAAAGGAGTCGCGAGACCACCTTTTTCAGTTGTGGGGATCAGTCTAGCATTCTTTCTAAACATTTTGTGAGTTTCTATGTTACCACACAATCAAAACACTAAAACTTCTCTGATCAACAGAGGGTACGCTTGTTAACACATCAACTATTGTTAACCTTCCTTGGCAAGGCAGAGGATAACAAATTTACTAGCACTTTACGCTAAACTTCCCTGCTTAAACAGAGGGTAACCAATTCTTCTCTGCCGAAACAGAGGGTAACAGATATTAACACATAATGTTAATCTTCCCTGCCTGAACAGAGGATAACCAATTCTTCCCTGCCAAAACAGAGGATAACAAATATTAGCACGTGATGCTAATCTTCCCTGCCTGAACAGAGGATAACCAATATTAGCACGTGATGCTAATCTTCCCTGCCTGAACAGAGGATAACCAATATTAGCACGTAATGCTAATCTTCCCTGCCTGAACAAAGGATAACCTTCATCTCTAAAATACATTTTTTTAGAGAATAACTTAGTTAACCAAACCCTACAGCTGTCTGTTAACTCTTCGCTGACGGCGCAGAGGATAACAAATGTGTACTGGTCTTAAAGGTTATTTTGGATAGAGTGGCACTCACCTACCCTTGGTTGTACAGAACGATTCAGTCTGGAACGAAGTCAGATCTTTGTTGAGCTTGAAGTTTCAATCTGGATTCAGGTGAGGAGCTCTATCCGGGTCACGGCACCAAAACTGTAGGAAACTTTTTCCTCGTCGAAGCAGAGACCAGGAGACTATTGGGTATCTTCAGCAGAGTTCTTTATTGAGAACGCGCTGCGTGGCGCTGCAGTCATCAAAAGCCTGACTAAGGCAGTAATACATTGTAGTTTATATACATTTTAAGGGGGCGGGATACATTCCGTAGAGGTGGAGACAATCTAACCCATAGCATGCAAATGAAGTACAGGCAATCAGCCCAACACCGGCATTTCCCCAGCCTTGATCTCATCAGCATAACAGTGTCATTCAAATGCATAGGTGCTAATCCAATCAGTATAACTACTCAAAGACTGCGGCAGAGGCACCAACAGCCATTACAAACAAAAGGTGATCGTCTCAGTAATCCGCAGCCCTGATCTCATCAGCATAACAGTGTCATTCAAATGCATAGGTGCTAATCCAATCAGCCTGACAGTATCGCCCATACCTTCACATTATCATAGAGACAAAGGCACAGCTGTGCCTTGAGCTTAGCATTCACCTTTAACTTGGGACCCTGCCCAATGGTCAGGAAGTGCATAAAGACAAAAGGTTAATGTCTCAGACACCTGGGCTGCCTGACTTGATCTTCTTCGAATGTCATCATCTTTACCTCAAAATGTAAAACACAATGTACATAACTTTTTCAGTTTATATACGATTACATTGGAACCTAGATATAACACTTTATAAATTTGTATAAAATCTTTTGTGGCGATGGCATCTCTATCAGGCATAAGTAAAATAACAGTAACATGGGTTACAAAATGGGGTATATTTCAAATATAGTTTTTAAATAACTCCTGAGCAAATAAGAGTAGCACCTGTTCAGTCTGCACATATTCAATATTAATTCAATAGAGAATGTGTATTTATATACATATAT